AATTAGACTTCTTTTCTCTAAAACTTATAAATTGCAAGAACGATCAGATCTCACAGTCAAGGTAAGAAAACAAGTTTCTGTTTCATTTGACATAGACTTATAGTTGCCAAGTCTTTCCAGAAAGGATGGTGGTGGCTCAACAATATATCTTAAAATGCTTTTTGTAACATTAGGAAGTCAAAAGAATGAAATGTGAGAGTAGGCAAGTGGAGAGAAAATGTTTTGAGAATGATGTACAAATGTGCTTTACACAATTGATGTGTGTATGGTTGTGCTAACAGTTGTATGAGCCCCTAATAAAATGTTTTTTAAAAAATGTTTTGAAATTATGATGGCAACAAATGTACAAATGTGCTTGACACAATGAATGGCTGTATGGATTGTGATAACAGTTGTACGAGCCCCCAATAAAATGATGTAAAAAAAAAAAGATGAATAATTTGTGAGATTAGTATGCTGTCATGTACTCTCTTTATAGCGTTGCAGTAGGACTGGGCTGGCCAGGTCAGAAATCCTTACTGTCCTCATCATTAGCAACTTATAAATGATTCTGTGGCTATGAAATAATTCTTAGCTCAACTCTTGAAGAGGATTTATTTTTTTTAATACTCTAACTTTGAGTTTGAATGTATCATTCCACAGTGCACATTTTAAAGGTATGATACCTACATATAATTTTAGAGTAACCCCTGGAAGCAAAACAGCTACAGCAAAATTCAATAATTCCTGACACATTACACTAAAAGCTAGAGGAGGGAAAAACCAAATTTTAAAAAACTGTGTTTTTACTTTAAATTTACAGCAATATAGAAGATATGCCCTTCTCAGTTTTATAGGTGAGCAGTGTCCCTTGAATGGCGGGATTCTCGAGTTGATTCACAGAAGCTAGTATAGTGTTCATGTTGTTTTCCTGGCTTTCTTCATAAAGCTCTTGGGAGAAACAAATAGGGAATTTATTGGTTGCTTTTTTCAAATGTTTTTGAGTGCCCAAGTGGCAGGTGAATACCTGTCCTGAAGAAACCTTTCAGGAGATAAAGGTACATGCCATATATACTCATCTATAAGACGAGTTTTTCAGTACATTTTTATGCAGTTTTTGTGGTAAAATTAAGTGCCTCGGCTGATATTCGGGTTGGCATATACTCGAGTATATACAGTAAGTTTAACAAAAATATTGAATTAGAACTATAAGGTAAGAATTACTATGGCTGTCACATTAACTTAGTTACTTCATTCCACCCTATTTACTCGACACATTTTCTAAATTGTTAGTCTGATTTGTTTATGAAAGAATAAGAAACTCAGAATAGTGAAGACAATTTGTAATGTATAAAGCAAAGATAAAAGGAATAAAATGGTAGATTTTTTTAATGAGAAATTTTAAAGCAGCTAAATTCTATTGCAATTAATGAGTGATTTTGTATATTTCAAGTACGTCTGAATCCTTGCAGATCGCTTATAAAAACAGGACTCTGAGCTGGTTGATGTTTTCACCTAACAATCACTTCTGTACGAACTTAAGGGTGTGATGTAAGAGAGGGTGAGCTCACGGATATGAAGCCATGCTTCTTACCTTTATGCTTCAGATTCTTTTTCTTGCTACCAGTCGTAGTTATAGATTCTACTTCCTGAACAAATACATAAAATTTTCTGTAACTTTTAAGTCATTCATAAAACTACATGGAAAAAGACATTTTAGCTTCTTATAAAGGAGGAGGTGAGGGTGATCATTCACAAAGCTAAATGGCAATTTTGTTTCATTTTTAGCCACAAGAGCTAGGCATTCTTTCTAGCAGTATATTATGGTTCCATTGCAACAGTTTAAATATTTGATGGAACTGATACAAAGTGACTAGCTCTGTGTTGCATCTTAATTTCTTGTCTCCATAGGAAAAGGAAGAATTGATTGAAGAGTGGCAGCCAGAACCACTTGTTCCTCCTGTCTCCAAAGACCACCCTGCTCTAAACTACAACATTGTTTCAGGGTAAATTGATTTTGATACTTAAAGGATTTGTGTTTGCTTTCCTGTAGGTATAGTCAGCAAGTATATAGGGTTTCATGCATTCTTCTTTTTTTAAAAATAGATCCAAAGCATCTAATTGGATTTAATGGGAATCTTAAACCATAATTTCTTTTTTTTAAATTTTATTTTATTGGGGGCTCTTACAGCTCTTATCACAATCCATACATATATCCATTTTGTCAAACACATCTGTATGTATGTTGTCATCATCTTTTTCAAAACATTTTCTTTCTACTTGAGCCCCTGGCATCAGCTCCTCATTTTTTCCCCTCCCTTTCCCACCCTCCCTCCCCCAAACTCCCTTGATAATTTATAAATTCTTTTTTTTTTTTCTCATATCTTACACCGACTGCTGTCTCATTTCACCCACTTTTCTGCTGTCCATCCCCTGGGATGGGGGCCATACATCGATCATTGTGATGGATTCCCTCTTCCTCCTACCCCCCCACCCCCCCATTCTTACCCACCTAGTATCGCTGCTCCC